GAACAAGCCGACGATATGCGCATCTCCTCTTGGTATTGATGATTCCCATAAAGTTTCATTGAATTCCAGCCAGTAGTTGCAGAGAAGTAGCGCGGAAACGATTTTTACTCTATATGCATACTACATAACTAATCAAGGGCCATAACTCTGAGTTAAAGGGTCTGACCGGAACAAGCCGACGATATGCGCATCTTCTCTTGATATTGATGATTCCCATAAAGTTTCGTTGAATTCCAGTCAGTAGTTGCAGAGAACTTCTCCGGAAACGATTTTTACTCCATATGCATATTGCATAACTAATCAAGGGCCATAACTCTGAGTTAAAGTGTCTGACCGGAACAAGCCGACGATATGCGCATCTCCTCTTGGTATTGAAGGTTCCCATAAAGTTTCATTGAATTCCAGCCAGTAGTTGCAGAGAAGTAGCGCGGAAACAATTTTTACTCCATATGCATATTGCATAACTAATCAAGGGCCATAACTCTGAGTTAAAGTGTCTGACCGGAACAAGCCGACGATATGCGCATCTCCTCTTGGTATTGAAGGTTCCCATAAAGTTTCGTTGAATTCCAGCCAGTAGTTGCAGAGAAGTAGCGCGGAAACGATTTTTACTCCATATGCATACTGCATAACTAATCAAGGGCCATAACTCTGAGTTAAAGGGTCTGACTGGAACAAGCCGACGATATGCGCATCTCCTCTTGGTATTGATGATTCCCATAAAGTTTTGTTGAATTCCAGCCAGTAGTTGCAGAGAACTTCTCCGGAAACGATTTTTACTCTATATACATACCACATAACTTATCAAGGGCCATAACTCTGAGTTAAAGGGTCTGACCGGAACAAGCTGACGATATGCGCATCTCCTCTTGATATTGATGATTCCCATAAAGTTTCATTGAATTCCAGCCAGTAGTTGCAGAGAACTTCTCCGGAAACGATTTTTACTCCATATGCATATTGCATAACTAATCAAGGGCCATAACTCTGAGTTAAAGTGTCTGACCGAAACAAGTCGACGATATGCGCATCTCCTCTTGGTATTGAAGGTTCCCATAAAGTTTCATTGAATTCCAGCCAGTAGTTGCAGAGAAGTAGCGCGGAAACAATTTTTACTCCATATGCATACTGCATAACTAATCAAGGGCCATAACTCTGAGTTAAAGGGTCTGACCGGAACGAGCCGACGATATGCGCATCTCCTCTTGGTATTGATGATTCCCATAAAGTTTTGTTGAATTCCAGCCAGTAGTTGCAGAGAACTACTCCGGAAACGATTTTTACTCTATATACATACTACATAACTTATCAAGGGCCATAACTCTGAGTTAAAGGGTCTGACCGGAACAAGCTGACGATATGCACATCTCCTCTTGATATTGATGATTCCCATAAAGTTTCATTGAATTCCAGCCAGTAGTTGCAGAGAACTTCTCCGGAAACAATTTTTACTCTATATGCATACTGCATAACTAATCAAGGGCCATAACTCTGAGTTAAAGGGTCTGACCGGAACAAGCCGACGATATGCGCATCTCCTCTTGGTATTGATGATTCCCATAAAGTTTTGTTGAATTCCAGCCAGTAGTTGCAGAGAACTACTCCGGAAACGATTTTTACTCTATATACATACTACATAACTTATCAAGGGCCATAACTCTGAGTTAAAGGGTCGGACCGGAACAAGCCGACGATATGCGCATCTCCTCTTGATATTGATGATTCCCATAAAGTTTCGTTGAATTCCAGCCAGTAGTTGCAGAGAACTACTCCGGAAACGAAATTCGGACGGACGGATGGACGGACGGACGGACAACGCCAAAACTATATCCCCCTCCCGATTCCATTGGCGGGGGATAATAAAAAAAACCCGAAGAGCGCAATTTATTGACGGAAAAGGTTATTTCATTGCATTGCGAAATTCTATAGTTCGCTATTCATTGTACATATCGCGACATTTCATTTTTAATTAATAATCAAGCATCTGAATGATCGGCTTTTATTTTGACCGACTAAAAGGCTCGAAAAGTTGCTGGCGCCTTTTCACAAAATCTGATTTCATTCCATAAGAGGTGCCGCGCTTCGGGGCGGACGCCAATGAAAATCAAAGACCCCTGGGGAAGGACCAATTTTGGTATAGGTCAACTACACAATGATTCATGCTCTAGCCTTTGTCAATTCTGAGAAGAAAACTTTTTAAGCTTTTACTATATACATAATTATTAAGTCAAACCTGTGACCCCGTGGCCAGGCCAACTAGTGGCAAAATTTGAAAAATTTTGGTAGAGGACCTAGAGATGATATTATAAACAAAATATACTAAAGCTCTAAGCATTTACTTTCAGTCACGAAGATTTTTAAGCTTTTACTATATGTACATAATGAAAATCACTGATCCCCGGGCAGGGCCAATTTTGACCCCAGGGCTTTAATTTGAAAAGTCTTGGTAGAGGTCTTCCAGACAATGCCTTATGCATAATATCTATGCTCAATGCCTTATGAGTCTTTAGAAGAATTTCTTATTAATTTATTCTTATAATTCCTATAATGCCAACCAGATTTCTACATGAAATCAAATTCCTTGGACAACTTTGGAAGCCCTTTACCCAAGGATCAATCCTGAATTTGGACTTGTGGTTTTTCACAAAAAGATTTTTTAAGTTCACTAGTCTATATAATCCACACACACAAAACACACACAGGTGAATCGCTATATGCCACCACAGTAGTATAAACAAGAGCTGTCACAGGAGACAGCGAAGCTCAACTAATAAAATACTGGGCGCAGTAAAGAAGACAAAACTATGAAATAAGAATCAATTATGTATAATTATGTATTAAGTTATAGTAAAACAAGATTGCATTTGTGAAAAATGCTATGCCACCGCATTTATACAACACTAAATAGTAATGTAGGAACAGATGTTTTGTTCCTATACAATTAAAGATTGCCATAATGCATAGATCCCTAACCTATCTAATTCTTATTATCAGATGAGTGGTTAAATCTATTGTTATTCAAATAAAAGATCAGAGTAGGAATCTATCAATGCAGTTGAGTCTATTGAATTTGGTGTTGAAGGTCATATTTCACATGGCCAAAATTCCATGACTGTACATTAAAAGACAACACAGTAAGACACTTTGTCAAAATCTAGGCCAGCTGATCTGAATTCATCTGTGCACATGGTTCAAATTTCATAGCTGCACATCAAAGGGCAAGAAAGTAGGTCACATCATCAAAATCTAGGTCACCTGATATCAAAGTTCAATTTTACAACTAAAACTGTGCACATAGTCAAAATTTCATGGCAGTACATCAAAAGATCACTGTCCCCTTGGGCAAGGCAAAATTTTGACCCAAGGGTCAATTTGACATTTCATGTCAAATATCTAAGCTGTAGCTTTCTCCAATTCAGAAAACATTTGTTTTAGTTTCTGTTTTTTACTATGTGTATATAATGATAATCAATGCCCTAGGGCAGAGTCAATTTTGACACCAGGGGCAAAATTTACACAACTTTGGTAAAGGGCCTATAGATGATATTATATAGCAAACATCAAAGCTCTATGCCTTGTACCTTCAGACAAAAAGATTTTTTATTTTTTTACGATATGTACATAATGAAAATCAATGACCCCCTGGTCGGAGCCAATTTTGACCCCAGGGCTATCATTTGGACAATCTTGGTAGAGGTTCACTACACAATGTTTGATGCCAAGTATTTAACCTCTAGCCTTTGTCAATTATGAGAAGATTTTTCAAGTTTTTACTATATACATATAAGGAAAACTTATGACCCCCGGGGCTGGGCTGATTTTGACACTAGAGGCAAAATTTTAACAGCTTTGGTAGAGTACCTATAGATAATAACACATACCAAATATCAAACCTCTAAGCCTTGTACCTTCAGACAAGAAGGTATTTTAAGTTTTTACTATATGTACATAAAGTGAAAATCAATGACCCCCGGGGCGGGGCAGATTATGACCCCAGGGCTATAATTTGAACTATCTTGGTAGTGGTCTACCAGACAATGCCTTACGCAAAATATCTAAGCTCTAGGCCTTTTGGGTCTTTACAAGAAGATTTTTTAAATTTATTCTTATAATTCCTTTTGGTTGCCATGGCAACCAGATTTCTGCATGGAATGAAATTCTTTGAACAACTTTGGAAGCCCTTCACCCAAGGATCAATCCTGCCAAGTTTGGTTGAAATTGGACTAGTGGTTTTTCACAAGAAGATTTTTTAAGTTCACTATATAATCTATAGAACACACATACAAACACACACACAAACACAGGTGAATCGCTATATGCCACCGCATCGCAGATGCTGCGGTGGCATAAAAATCTAAGTTTATGGGGAGATAATTCTTGCAATATTGGTGCTAGAGTTATGAACCTTGTCACATAACATGTGGTTAATGATAAGGTACATATATTTGAAGTATGAAGTTGATCCCTTAATAAATAAATAAGAAACAGTAAAAAATAATATTTTTTAAGGAAAATTCTAAGTTCAAGGGGAGATAAATCTGAAAATATTGATGCTAGAGTTATAAACCTTGTCACATAAGATGTGGTTGATGATAAGGTACATATATTTGAAGTATGAAGTTGATCCCTTAAGAAATAAAGAAGTAACAGTAAAAAATAGTATTTTTTAAGGAAAATTATAAGTTCAAGGGGAGATTTATCTGAAAATATTGGTGCTAGAGTTATGAACCTTGTCACATAAGATGTGGTTGATGATAAGGAACATATATATGAAGTATGAAGTTGATACCTTAAGAAATGACAAAGTTATAGTGAAAAATATTTTACTGCACCAAAACTTTAATCTGGACGAGGACTCCGACGCCCGGGCGAGTAGGACAGCTCTCCATATACTTTGTATAGTCAAGCTAAGAAACATAAATTTCATGTAAGACATTCACTCCACATGAGAATGAGCTCTGTTATACCCAAATAATCAAAGTCTTGAGATCATAATTTACCGTTCAGCTCCAGCTAATACAGTTCCTTCTTGTACAAGCCTGCTTCCCTTGGCAATACCATCCTCTAAACTAATCAAAGTTCTTCGCTTAACAGGAGCTAATGTCAGCCAATCAACATTTTCATTACATAATGAAATATCTTCTTCAGCTTTAGATTCTTGTTCAAATGCTAAAGATGTCGATTTAGACACTTGCACTCCAATTTTTCTTTTCCAAGTAAATTTCTTTACTCCATCAGCCATTGATGTTTTGAACTGAAAAAAAGGAATAACAAATACTTTTTAATGTTTCAAATTCCCTTTTTATTTTCTTCTGATTATCAGATACAAAACAAGAGCATGGCAAAGGCAGATCAATCTAGAAAATTCACAAACTCAATCTGATTAAAATCAGCTCTAAACTAGAAGTGTTTTTGTCACAAAAACAAAAACATATGTTTCCCAAAACTATGTATGGTCACTCATGTGAAGTTTCATTGAAATCCTACCAGTAGCTTGACCTGTGAAAGCTGGACAAGATTTTTCTATTTATAGCTTGGACGGCCATTTTGTGCAGCAAAGCGAAACAGGCCTTGATATGCACAACTAGGGATGGTACTGAACACCTGTGAATTTTGGTGGAAATCCCGCCAGCAGTTTGACCTGTGATAACCAGACAGGATTTTTCTATTTTTTAGCTCTGGCAGCCACTTTGTTCAGCAACGCAGAACATGGCGGCAATATGCACAACTAGGGATGGTAATGATCACTCATGGGAAGATTTTTCTTTTTTTTTAGCTCTGGTGGCCATTTTGTGCAGTGAAGCGGATCATGACAGTAACGTGCATAACTAGGTATGGTACTTATCTCTCTGAAATCCTACCAGTAGTTTGAACTGTGAAGGCTGGACAAGTTTTTTCTATTTTCAGCTTTAGCAAAATCAAAACTCCCGTCAAATTGAATAAAAAATGAAAATATAATCATGAGCTCTTGTCAGTAACAATATTTAAAATAAAGGCTGTATGGGCAAGTGTAAAAAAATCTATTTTTAGCACTGGTGACCTTGTCCCAACTGACCCCTAACTCCATCCAAAGGAAGAATATCATGCAACTTATTTTCCTACCAAATATGAAATAAATCTGTCAATATATAAAGGCTGTATGAGCAAAAGTGTAAAAATCTATTTTTAGCACTGGTGACCTTGACCCAACTGACCCCTACCTCCATCCAAATGAGAATACCTCAATTTTATGTTCCTACAAAATATACAAGACATCTGTCGATAGAATTAGGTTAATACACCTGTAAAAGTGTAAAAAATCTATTTTTGACATTGGTGACCTTGACCCAAATGACCCCTTACTAAAGGAAAAGGAAGAGGACCTCCCTTGGTAATGGTATGACTATTATAAACATGAAAGACATTAACTTAACAAGAGCTGTCCGTAAGACAGCGCGCTCGACTTTTTTATTGCTTGCCAATAAAAAAAGTTTTTGCAGTAAAAGGCAATACAAGAATCTCTGTATTTTTAAAGTGAACTAGTTGTTTGATACCCTTGAATATTACAGCAATGTTTATATGACATAATTTATGGTAAAGTGAACAAGTGGATAGGAATGAATTTTTTTAGATTTTTTAAGTTTTTTAGTGCTTGCCTATAATACAAAACATTGACAGTTAAGGGCCATAATTCAAATAAAATCTTTGACAGAATTACCTTCTCCTGGACATGTTTGGGAATCATGATTGTAAACAAGTATTCCAACTTTCAAATTAATATCTCAAACAGTTCAGTCAAAAAGTGGACTGGTACTAAAAACTTAACCAAGATTCTAAGTCGATAAAAGGCCTTAATTTTTAAAACAAATCCTTGACAGAGTTACCTTCTCTTGCGTACAGATGGGGGTAATGATGTGAAATAGCATTAAAAGTTTCAAAGCAATATCTCAAAGGGTTAAGGCAATAAGTGGATTTTTACCCATATTCAATGTATTTTCTAAGTCAAAAAGGGGCATAATTCTGTCAAAAACCTTGACAGAGTTATGTCCTCTTGTCTGTTGATGAAGGTCGTGATGGTAAACAAGTATGGTCAGTTTTCAAAGCAATACCTCCAATGGTTTTGAAATAAAGTGAGGTGGTACAAAAAACTTAACCAAGCTCAATACACTTTCTAAGTCAAAAAAGGGCCATAATTCTGTCAAAAACCTTGACAGAGTTATGTACTCTTGTCTGTAGATGGAGGTTATGATGGTGAACAAGTATGGTAAGTTTCAAAGCCATACTTGTAATACTTCTGAAATAAAGTGGGGTGGTACGAAAAACTTAACCAAGGTGTGACGCCAACGCTAACGCCGACGCCGACGCCGACGCCGGGGCGAGTAGGATAGCTCCCCTTTTCATAGAAAAGTCGAGCTAAAAATTGTATGAGCAGAAATGTTTAGATTTATTTTTTTACACAAGTGACCTTGACCTTGACCTAGAGACGCCTAACGCCACAAAAAATTAGAGGACCGTTAAAGGTATCCACCTACCAAATATGAAAGATATCATTAAATAAATTAAGTAATTAGGTGAAATTTTTTGATAAATCCAACTTGGTGGAAGTTAACCATACAAGGCCCTATTTTTCAAAGTGATAAAAAGGGAAATTACTGGGAAAATGGATGGCACATTTATATAACTTGTACATTGTACATGTACATTGTATTGATAAGTAAGTGCGAAAATTATTAAGCCATTAGTTCAGATAGAACATAAGATATTTCCAACTTCCAACTTGAGGTTAACCATTATTCATTTTCTAAGTGCTGAAAAGGGCCATAATTTGGTGCAAATGGAAGCCATAGTTATGAAACTTGCCCAGATCATATACTTTTATATTATCTTAGCTCTAGCTCTATGGGTTTTTAAAAGAAGATTTTTTAAGTTTTTACTATAAACATAAAGGGCTTTTATTTGAACAAACTTGGTAGACACCCACCAGAATATGTTTTATGCTTAAAATCTAAGCTCTAACTATTTGAATTTTTTAAAAGAAGATTTTTAAGTTTTTACTATATACATAAAGGGAAAAACAATGCCCCCCCCCCCCCTGGGCGGGGCCAATTTTGACCCTAGGGCTTTTATTTCAACAAACTTGGTAGACACCCACTAGAAGATGTTTCATGCTTAATATCTAAGCTCTAGCTATTTGGGTTTTTTAAAAGATTTTTTAAGTTATCACTATATACATATAGGGAAAACAATGACCCCCGGGGCGGGGCCAATTTTGACCCCAGGGCTATTATTTGAACAAATTTGGTAGACTCTGACTAGATGATGTTTCATACCAAATATTTAAGCTCTAGCTATTTGGGGTTTTTTAAAGAAGATTTTTTAAGTTTTTTCTCTCTGCATGGAATTAAATTCTTTGAACAATTTTTAGCTCGACTTTTTTTTTTGCATATTGTTATAGTCCTGGCAGTGTTGCCATTCGCAACCTTGTACCTGGATCATAACTTTTTTAGTTCTTGGTGTATTGTCTTCATACTTGGCCACAACAACCCTTGGGACAAGACCTTTCAGTAGACCACACCAACCTTGACCTTCATCCATAAATGACCTTGACCTTCAAGGTCAAAAGTCCAAATTTTGCTTGATCTTGCTATTATTGGCTGTAACTTTGTTATTTTTGAATGGATTGTCTTCAAACTTGAACATAGTAATCTTCAAGGATAGCCCTTAAAAATAACCACACAGACCTTGACCTTCACTCATAAATGACCTTGACTTTGAAGGTCAAATTATTGAAATTTATTTTTTTTTTGCTATTATTGGCTGTAACTTTGTTATTTTTGAAAGGATTGTCTTCAAACTTGGTATATAAACACGGTAAAGGATTGGTAGAGGAAGAATCAACATATTTGACTAATTTTGAAAGTTTAAAATGTGCAGATAATTTGCTCTGAAGTTTTTCTGCAAAATATGTGGTTTTAGTGATACAATAGTAATATTTTTTTATATCAAATGGAAATTTAAAAAATAGTGCATTAGATGGTGAAATATAGTGAAAAATAAATAAAGATTTATGGAGATATTTGAGAAAGAAAATGTTTCTATTGATTGAAATCATTTGCTTTTTGGATTATGTACATGGTGTAAGACTTGATTTTACATGGATTTTTACCTGTGATTGTAAGGATAATGGATTAAGCTGGATTAAGCTGGACTATAATTCATCACATACAAAGGAATTCTAAGATACAATTGGACCATAATAGATACTACACTTTAAATAATTGTTTAACAGTAAACTTTGACAGCAAGTATAATAATTGATAAAATGTCTAGTAAGGGTCAAGGATCAGGACAAGGGTCAAAGGACAACTCTACTGGTACAAAATTGAAGGGAACACAGGAAAACAGCCTCCAGCTAAAAGAGCAATTTCAGAAGTAAGTAATGACAGCAAATTAAGTAATGACAGCATGAACATGTCATTAATACAAAATCAGCTAGACTTAATGTCAGAAAATCTTGAAGAGCTTAAAGGAGACTTAAAATGTATCATCAAAAAAGAAGACATAGAATCAATAATTTCAAGATCAATCACAAGTGCCATGACCCAATTACAGCAAAAAATGGAAATCATTGTAAAACAAGAGGGCCATGATGGCCCTGAAGTAGCTCACCTGTATATAGGCCCCCGGAGCGGGGTCAGTTTAAACCCCAGGGCTTTTATTTGAACAAACTTGGTAGACACCCATTAGAAGATGTTTCATGCTAAACATCTAAGGTCTAGCTGGTCAAGTTTTTTCTTTACACATATAGTTAAAAACAATGACACACCTGGGGCAGGGCCAGTTTTGACCCAAGGGCTTTATTTGAACAATCTTTGTAGACACTTACTAGAAAATGTTTCATGCTTAATATCTAAACTCTAGCTATTCGGGTTTTTTCAAAGAAGATTTTTAAGTTTTTGCTATACACATATAAGGAAAATCAATGTCCCCCGGGGCGGGGCCAATTTTGACCCCAGGGCTTTTATTTGAACAAACTTTGTAGACACTCACTAGAAGATGCTTCGTGCTTAATATCTAAACTCTAGCTATTTGAGTTTTTTCAAAGAAGATTTTTTAAGTTTTTGTTATACACATATAAGGAAAATGAATGACCCCCGGGGCGGGGCCAATTTTGACCCCAGGGCTTTTATTTAAACAAACTTTGTAGACACTCACTAGATGATGCTTCGTGCTCAATATCTAAACTCTAGCTATTTGAGTTTTTTCAAAGAAGAT